TATATATATATAGTCAATTTGATAATGGGAAAGACGTTCTTACGTTGCAACATCTACACACTCACACACTGCTTAATTGACTTAAATCCGTCTCTGATCTATTTTTCAGGTTGATCACAATCCTTTTAATCTTCCACTAAACTCCATTTAACCTTCTTATCCCCTCATATCCAGAGCTACTCTTTGTGATCCAGAGCACAGTTGGACGTAGGTGGTCCAGGTCTTCATACGCCAGCACAAATAGCAGCTGATGTGTAAGTGGAAAATTACAGAGCAGCATGAACAGAAACAGTCACAACAGCTCAGAATGCAATGCATAATATTACTCACAAATCAAATGAACGATTTCATTCACCAGAACATAACTTAGAATCATGACAGAGGACAAATAAGGACCAGATGTTGACACTAAGATTCTTCTCTTACTAATGAAGAACAATATCTAGATAATCCCGAATAAAAGGTAGTATGTGTTGAAAGTTTGTCCAATTGTTTTTTAAAGAAAAGAAAACAAATGTCCTCTTTAAAGATGATTAGTGTTCCCTGAAATCAATAAGACCAGATTTTAAAAATTGTGAGTCATAAAAGAAGAAGAACTAGGCCACCCAGAAACTAGTTTATCTTAACAAATCCTGAGTAATCCTTAATCCTTTCTTTGGTCCTTGTGGAGTTTAGAGGATTCTCTAGGGAATCTGTGCAGTAAAATGTCAATGATATTAAAAAATCAAAGGTAAGATTGATCTTTTTTATTGTCTTTTGATATGAATTAGACATATCGCAAATAGAGTGAAAATTAACATTAGTTAGTGCCCAAACATATTTTACATCATCTGTAGAGCGTTATCATCTTTTCTAAACGGGATCATAATTTACAGAATCAACACCTCCCCAAACATCACGATGTTTGGGGAGGTGTATGGCAGAGTAAACAGGAAGTGGATTTCTCTGAAGTTGTTACTCTTGGTTTCAGAAAATATAAATAAGAAGAAACTGAAATCAGGGAAAGTGTGATGTTCTGTTCAGACAATGTCAGACCAGAAAACTTGACAGCTGACAGTAAGAAATCAGACAGGAGAGGAAACAATTAGAGTATTGTTGCAATACTGATTGATGACCACAATGTGTGGCCACTTTGTTTCATGGGAATTTTTTAGGAAGCTGAGGGCTAGGACTAAACCTTCACTTAAAAAACAAAATTTGAACTAACCCTCTAAAAATAATC